TGCAGCTAAAGGATATAATTGCGTAATCGTTTACAGAAAATTCATCAGCATCAATGGATCGATAAATGAGCATATAAAAATTGAAAACCAGGTAGTGAAGTTCTGGAGGCCCGATTGATACAAAAACCAAGGCCAGTTTTAGGGCAATGGAGAATGGGAGCTGAAACACCTCGGAATTTTCAACAATTCTTTCGGTGTTGGGGATGAAGCTCTAGTGAAGCTGAACTTTGAGTTAACTCTCCGGAGAGTCCCAAATTTCTACGTCTACGTCATCGCCCTTCCCTGCTTTATTCTAACGATGCTCTCGGCTGTTGGCATGTTTTGGACTCCGAATTACAAGGCGGAACAATTGACGAAGGTTTGTGCTGATCGCGACAATTTAATTTAATTTTCCTAAAATGATAATCGCTAAAAAATGTGCTTTTACCATTAATGCTCCGTTATATAGTCCATTGAAGCCTGATTTCAGCTCGGTATCGGGCTAACCAGCCTCGTCTCGATGACCGTCCTCTTGGATATGCTTTCCGATGCAATACCGAAAACTGTTGATTTTCCGATATTAGGTAATGGCTTCAAATGCTTAAATTTGCTGCATTATAGTTCTTAATAGTAGTCATATTAAATGGATATTTAGGAATCTACGTCGTCCTCTGCGTGGGCGTAACCTCATTTGCATGCGTCATCGTCGTCGTATTCCCGCTAGACAACTTCCATCGCAAGACAAATCTGGAAATTAAGAAATCGGTGGAGGCGGATAAAAAATTGGGATTGTGGTACCGCAACGGCAAAAAGTATGTTTAAAACTTGTAATTTCAGGGAGCGCCTAAGAAAGTTCGTCTCCAAAAACCTGCTAACCCGCCATTTCCTGTTCCAATTGATCTTCCAGGCAATCAACCTGGCCGGCTTTATCGTGTTTCTTTCGTTTTGGGATTAAAACTTGAATAAAAATTGTACGAATTTCAATGCATATCTTTCCAAGTCGTCCCATTTTAAGAACTTCGAAGCTTGCAGATACCAGAAAACTAAAAATCAGTCATTCCCGCGTGATATTGACTCCAACATTATTAGTGCCCAATACATTTTTAGGAATCAACCAGGGTTGAAAAGCCGCTTCGCGACTTTTCAACCCTGGCCCCGTCAAACCCCCATGCTTCATCACTTTGCATAAACTCCTGGATTCCTGTGCAAAAAATGAAAAGCGCGTCCTCTCCGCCATTATATAGGCTTCCCCCACTTCAGGTTCATGTTAATTGATTCTTAACAAAGAGGCCGAGCGGGATTTTCACAAAAACTTAATTTTAATATCGAAAACAGCTGTTTTTAAAAATCTCATATGCGTGCAGTCGTGTCGACCATTACGCACCCTAATGACTTCTGCGTACCTCTTCCTCCCTATTCAGATACGACTGGAACATACGGACGGAAGTTGCATGCAAATGCACACACACAAACACTATTTTTTTATATATGAAAAATCAATCTTTCAATGGCAGGAGAGACAATTATGGACGCCTTCTTTAATTGATTTCAGTACATTAATATCGGAAGGACACTTTGAGACACAACAACCAGACATTCCAACGTCCGTTATATATACACACATGTTTACAGTTGCCAGTCCACTTTCCGGCAACTTTTTCAAGGCACTTTCAGTGGCAATACCACAGGCCACGAGGATGAAGCCGCTTCTCTACCTGATGTTGGCGGTCACAACCAGCGCAATTAGTGTCCCAATGGTTCGACATGGTTTGCTTTTTTTGATCGCTCATCATTCGAGCTGTTTTAGTTACGTTCACCACTCCACCACCAAGCGATGCTCCAACCGCAGGTGGTAAATCTAATCAGTATACCTTGTGCAAATACGAAAGCATATTGGCTAGCCTACCTGACTTAATAAGAAAGGTTTACTTCAGCTCCCCCCAGCCGGAAGGTCCCAAAGATTTTTTCAATGCGACCAATCTCTAGGTCCCAGTTATTTTTCCCTGGCCGGACACGGCACAAAATGTATATTTAAACCTATACACCTAAATTAGCGTTTGACAGGTTACCAAGGCTTTGCTTCTTTTTACATAACTATTTTATTTTACATTATTTTAAGCGGTAATTAAAAATTTTGGCACATTTTTAGACGCACTATCGAATAACGTTCAAGAAATTCGGTAAAATGTAGAAAATCTCGAAACTAGCTTTGCACCTCATGCTGCTATCGTAAATTGCGTGAAATACTGTTATTGCTGTGACTATTTAATATTATCCTATTTTCGCCTAAAATTATTACTCCTGGTATATTTTTCAATTTTTTATCGAACGGCCGATCGAAAATGTAAAAAAATAGGCGAAACTCTCGAAGAATTTTCGGATCTCTGGGCTGGGGGGTAACTTATCATTATTTTTAATCCCTGGAATAATAGGGCGTAATGGTGCTGTTTCTAAGATGCATGTAGTGAGGAAAAGCAAGTAGTAGCAGAAGTTTTATTTTTAGAGCCAATAACGACTACCACCACTACGACTACTACGATTGCTACATCCGAGGTGCCCGCTGTCACTTTGGAGGGCCCTGCCGCCGGTGTGTATTCAATTGTATCAATTTTTGCGGCGACCAATAACCGCCGAAACTATGTAACTTAACTGTCGTATCAAAGGATATAGATCGCTTCAATTATGAAAAAGAGGCTTCGCTGTATCACTTTGATTTTCAGAAATCCCAGATCCGATTGTCAGAATTGATGTCCACATGCCGTCTTCCGACAAATTCCAACCAAAGCCAAGAACCGTCTTGAAACTTGAAATCCTCGTCTCGCCGACTGGTTGTCAAACGCAATGAATTATTTCTACCATTTGACAAACCACATATGAAACCCAAACTTTCAAAATGCTTTTGCGAAATGCCTTGCATCCGCCGCGCTCTTGTTTTTATGGCTGGATACTGATTACAATAAATGATCGGGTGCAAATGCATTTAAGGGGGGGGGGGGGGGGGTAGGACCAAAATTGGTAGTAAGGGGTTATGATGCGCTCCGCTTAAGCAACTTGCTTTTCAGCTTCAGCATGAGCTTAACTTAGCTTTAACTAGGCATAGCTTAGTTTTAGGCTTCAGCGAAGTACAAGCTAAGCTTATCTTGAGCTTCAAATTGCCTTACGAGGTCAAAATGGGGTCATTTAGGGGTTAGCTTAGAGCTTAGGTTAGCTTCGCTCAAGCCAAGCTTGGATTTCGTTTATATGAACCTAAGCATAGGCTTAAGATCAGCTTGGCTTTTCCAGAGGCTTCGAGGTTAGAAAACCGCATTTGAAACGTCTTGTGGTCAAAATCCGGAATGCCCCCCCCCCAAGTGCCGTGGCCCCAATGATATGATGGTATTTATAAAGCTTCACACCCAGGTCGGAATTTTGAAATATTATCGTGAAAACCCGTAATCGAAAGTATAACATTTTTGAATGACTTCCACGACCCAGAGACAAAACAATTTTGTGAAATTTGCGGCAACCAGCAGCGATGAGTAATTCATAGTAACGTGAAAATGATTTGCAGACACAACACCCTCTCTGAATACGGTTGGTTCAGTTGCCACTTCGCAAAAACCATATCGCCAGACATCGACTTATTGATACCTTGAAACATGAAGCCCCTTCTGCTACTTGCTCTGTCAATGGTGGCCACGGACGCAGGGACCTTTTTCCCGCCTACGCACGGTTCGTTTGAGTTCGCAATCATAAGCCAAAACTTATGATTCAGCCCAACCGAAGGATTGGACCGGTCCCACCTTGCCACCATTGCCACCATTACCAGATGTTGTCACTCTACAGAGATCCACCCAGACGTCCACCGGTGGGATCTATTTTGTGAACGACACTTATCAACCATTTTGCAAGTGATCTTCAAGGAATCACAATATCAATTTAAAGCAACCAAGAAGTCAAGATGCCTTACTGCCCTGCATCGCAAACAAAAAAACAAATGGGGATTCCGGCGTTTCTAAGATTTAAAACAGCTGGAATGCTCCGAATCGCTTAACGATTCTCCGATCATTAATTTTTAATCCCTGGAATAATAGAGCGTAATGGTGCTCTGGTTTCTCAGGCTTATGTAATGAAGAAATTTCAGGAGTAGCAGAAGCTTTAGTTTTAGAGCCAACAGCGACTACCACCACTACGACTACTACGATTGCTACATTCGAGGTGCCCGCTGTCACCTTGGAGGGCCCCACCGCCGGTGTGTATGCAATTGTATCAGTTTGCGGCTACCAATAACCGCCGAAACTATGTAACTTAACTGTCGTATCAAAAGGGTACGGAAAACCTTAACTCTGAAAATGACAACACGTTGTACTACTTTGATGCAGAAATGCACGATCCGATCGTCAGAATTGATGTCCACATGCCTTCCGACAAATTCCACCCAAAACCAAGAACCGGCTTGAAAGTTGAAATCCTCATCTTGCCGACTGGTCGTGAAACGCAATAAAGTTTTTCTATTATTTGACAAACAACATTTGATAGCGAAACCTTACAGGTACACCCCGCTCCCCTTCGGTGAGCATTTGGCTGACTGGCGCCCGGTCACCAGAGACCCTTCATATCCCCTGGCCCCATACCCCTCCCCATCCCTACCGTTGGTCCAAAACACCCTAAAATGCGCTGTAACTGTTGAAATAAAAGCATTCTGCCAATTCTGAAACCATATTCGGAATCAGCGAAAAATTCTGGTCAAGATATGCTTGGTCTCATCTCGAATTTCGATCCTGACCAAAAACACTTTACTGTAAGGTGTTCTTATGAGACCTTATATTTCTCATCGAGCGCGGAATGTCCCTTGAAGAATCTTTTTGCGATTCCCATTCGCCGCGCTCATAATTTGATTAATTGAATCCGCACTGGAAGAAGTAATATACATATACGATGGAATCTATAATGCTTCACGCCTACGCAGGAATTTTCCAAATATGCTTTTTGAAGCCTTTTGCAGTGTAAATCCGGCTTGCAAATTGAAAATAAAAAATTTATCGAAGCCTGGAAAAAATGAAGTTTGTAGCCCACTTGCGAACCTGCCAACACACCAAAATCAGTCGGTAGCTGTGAGCCGCCTGCTTCGCGCCGCAGATTTTGTGCGCGTGCAACCCCTAAATTGCATAGGCTCGGTTTTTAGATTAGGTTAGAAAATTCAGAACTTAAATTATCCGTCTCATTAAAAAGTTTTATCTATTGGCATTAATAGTCAGCTCGAAATACGATACCATCTTTTCCCTGTGCTCGTTCTCCACCACGAGTCATGGCCACACTAGCGCGCAGATTATAAAAGATCAAATCCGGAATATGATTGAGGGTTCCTCTTAGAAGTTCATATTTCCAAGGGCAAGCTAGCACCGCTGACGCTCTGGAAAATTTTATCTGGTACCAGCGCCCAAAACCCGCTTCGCGGGCCTTGGGCGCTGGAATGCTGCTTTGCATGAGAAATTCGCCTTTCCGATAGCTCGGGTCCTTGACGGAAAATTAGAGCCTTTTATACACGGGAAGGCCCTTAAATCGAGCCTCGAAAGTGACATCCGCACACACACACACACACACACAAAGATACGCGACCAAATTATATAGGTGGACATTCAGTTTAGACCATATGTTTTACCGGTAGCTTGACGAATTTCGACCCCGATGTACCCAAGCTAGCTACATATATTGAGCCCGAACTGGATCAGCGTGCTGTTTGAACTTTCGCAGTGTAACTGGGTCAAGGTCCGTGCATGGCGTTTGCATAAGTCGGCGGTCGAATTTTTCGCTTGTTTCTAAACGAAGAGGCTTCGTTGGGATATGATCGCCATGATCGGCGTTCTCACGGAAAATGTTTGCGCCTGGGCCTAACCAAAAATAGCAGGGCACGTTTTCGCAACTCTCACCTTCAAAAAATTGTTTCTGCTCTGATTTTGACGTGATCCACGAATAGGAGCGTTCAACTACTAAAAAAATTGTGTTTGAAATGTTTATTCACACCGGGTACTCATCGTGGTTCTCGACCGATTCGCGCCGTATATTCAGATTGTTCCGTCGAAAGTTAAAGTTTAAGCGTTTTTATCAACTTTATATCACATTTGCCGTTCCTCTACTTCTCATCCACCGTGAAAAATCGGTGGCTGACCTGCGTGAAAAGCCATTTTTTTTTTGGGGGAAAAAATTTGACTTACCGTGCTTCTTGGGCGAGTATTCGAGTGCCAATCGCATGCATGCCAGGCAATAATTTCCGTTGCATAGCACAATCTCGGCCATTCGTCATTGCACTAAAAATCAAAAGTTTGTCGAAAGATATCACTGTAAGATTTGAGGCGTAGAATCCACTTACCAGCGAGTTTAGGACGCCATTTTTTGGGCCATTCGCGATTTAGTTGAACTGAGACAGAGGATCGTCTTCGCAGCCACCAAACCGTGGTCGTTGAGGACCGTCCTGTCAGTGTTGCTGTGGTTGCAATGCCCTTACTAGGGAAGCCCGAATAGACCCAAACTCAGAATTGGCTGAATTGCACACAGATAGAATCGCCCACGCTGATCATCGCCTCGTCCTCCAAATTTGCTACTGATCTTTAAAACTTGAGATATGCCACGTTTAATGCGATCTTTTAGTTAAGTTAGTCAAACCTCGACCTCGATTATTTTGATCTGCCCGACCGATTTTGCAAAAATAAATATCGCCATCGTATTCAGGAATTTTTTCCTTTCGAATGAGCCCTGTCACTCGAGATTTTCGAAAACTCAAAAAATTGGAAAAATTGACGATGGACCTCGATGATTGTATTGGAGTAATGAAAAACAGCTTACTTCAAACAGCTGTAAGACGTCGTCTAAACGAGGCCTATTTTAATGAAATATACTTTTCTAGTCAGAAAAAAATTCGCTATCAGATAGGCTACTAAAAATAAATTAGAACTTCAAGATAAAAAGGAACGGCACCGTGCAAATGTTCAGCCAATTCTAAGTCCGGGTTTATTTGGGCTCCCCTAGTTAGACGTTATCAATGTTTTTTTTTTTAAGCGACCGACCATTGGTGCGGACATTTTTTTAATTAATCCTCCTACTACCATTTGCCCTATTTTCCGTGTAAGTTCGGTATCGTTTGTTTTCACTCGGCGTTTCGAGTTCTGAGAATTGGCAAGGCTACGGCGTGATAAACAAATAAAAAATCAGCAAGCAATAGAAAAGGAGATTGGCTTACTTTTTTCGCAAGATTTTTCTGAAGAGCTACAGTCTTGTAGTTGCCACCATCTTCTTGGCGTTGATCAGAACCACTTCATCGAGGTGAGCGTAGGAATCGGTTTTGTTTCCGCTCTGTTGTAATGTTCGGATGAGTTGACCAAGTATGTTGGCACCTACCTGAATGGAACGGTAGACCTCCGCTCCTGTAAAAACCTGTAAAACATCCATATTGTCATTTTTGGAATGGTGTACGCTGCTGGTTCGCATTTATTTGGGCATCTTCAATTATTATGAATTATGTGATCAAACTTGCAGATCTTACCCCACTCTCTCTCTCATATACCGTCGCCACCCTGCTGATATCCGTAGAGGTTCATTACCACGTTTGTGCTAACATCTCCAAAAAACGTCTGGTTATTTGGGAATACTTTCTATACCTTCACGAAAAGTGAATAGATGTATACCACAAATAACATGTTCTCTTACCCGAGACATCGTAGAAAATCTGATATTTAATTGGGAGTTTGATGGAGGGGGGTATTAGGACTCCCTGTACTTGTCATCACATTTCCAAGCATACCTTTGTATTGAGATTCATTACCGGTTACAAGCTTTCCTGAAATTAGACGACTATTTAAAAGGATGAACAAAACAAGAGCGGAAGTAAGGATTTTCACAAAATGCATACTTGTTGCCCTTTGTCGCGCCGATCGAGACATTCGTTGAGCGCTGCTCCTAATATAAAAAATATCTCAACATATATATATATATATTTTAACAGTTGAACGTTTGTTTTCTGCTTACTGAAATAGATTGATATTTACAAATACTATGTTTAATTTCTTCTCCGGGTTAACCTCTTCCTGTTGCGTTCAAAACTGAGCATGTGGTACTCATAGGATAACGGGGGGGGATAAAATAACCGGGGGTTTTCATTAGGATGAAATTTGCAATTACTGTGGGATTTTGCGAGTGCCTTTCGATAGAGCGTCGCAACATATACGAAGAAAATTAATTTCAGTCCAAAATAATGTAATGGAATTTTTTACTGAATAAGCAAAAATTGAGGAAAATCTATGGGCAGCACATAGGATAACCTGGGGAAGCTAAATTTTGAGATTTTCGATGGTTTGAAAAGGCGAATCGATAGAACATCAAAAATTATACTAAGAGATTTTTTTGCAACGCGAAAAAATGTATTATAAAAATTTTATAGCCTAAAAACTATTTTTGAAAGCTATGGGTAGCACATAGGATAACGGGGGGGATATATTTATTTGCGGCGTTTTGATGATTTTCGATATTTTGAAAATGCCATTCGACACAGGGCCGAAAAATATACTAAGAGCTTTTTTTTGCAACCCGAAAAAGCATATCTAAAAATACTTTTATTATAAAAAAAAGTTTGAGTGCTTTACTCCTCTGATATGTTATTCCTTCCTCCCCCCGCTATCATATGTGTACCTATAGAATGCTTAGACGTTTTTAAGATAAAGAATATTGCTTTAAGCAACTCTTCCATGGAATGCATACCTAAGTGCCGTCGTAGAAACGGGGAAACGGGAAACCGGTCGTGACCTTCTGGTCACATAGTTAGGGCACATAGCTTATTTTCTTTGATTAGCTTTGTGGCTCCATTTCTGGTCATCCTATTACTACATTCCCTCATTAGCATTTAACCTCACCTTTTTCCTGATTTTTGTCAATTTCGAAATTTCCCGGAGTAATAGTCATTATATTATTATTTTACAATCAAAATATTCGTTGGAATAATAGCTTCATAGAAAGCTACAGAACTGGTAGAACCACCAAAGTTGAGAGTAGTATCTGAAATATACAAAACCAGCGTCCAAAACCCGCTTCGCGGGCCTTGGGCGCTGGAATGCGGCCTTTGCATGAAAAGTTTGACTTTCTGATAGCTCGGGTCCTGCGGACCCCCCCTCCCCCCCCGCCCCGACCACACGCGCGAGTGCAACTGGCCAGAATGAGGAAGTTTGTATTTTTTCGCATTATGCAAATTAGCCTTCAGGTACCCCCAAAAATCAATAAAACCGCCTTTAACTTTGTAAACTTGTATTTTTGCGAAATTCTGAAAACGCCATCGGAAACAGAAGGGTCGATTCCTCCGGGTGACGGAGAATTAGGGCATTTTATGCACGGGAAGGCCCTCAAATCGGGCCTCGAAAGTGACATCCACACACACACACACACACACACATACACTCCAAAATTATATAAGGTAGGATTGGAAAAGATAAATGATGTTTAGTTTGCAGCAAAAAATAACTTCAAAAACGATCGATAATGCCAAACAGAACCGGCGGTTGATTTCTGTTAATATCGTCTAGATGGCTTTTACAGGCCCAGACGAGATGCCATCTTGATAACGCCGGGTGGCTGGTGAGAAATGTCATCAGCGAGGGAGGGGAAGATCGATCTTCGTGAAGATTTGAAGCCTTAAACGCCGATAACATAATTCGGTGGTTTTCATACCGATAAGGGTTTATGAAGCAGGTTTTTGATATCCTATCCTGAACTTAAACTACGAGAAAGGGGACTTTCATTGAAGTTACCCAAAACACCCTAAAATGCGCTGTAACCTTTGAAATAAGAGCATTCTGCAAATTCTGAAACGATATTCGGAATCACCGAAAAATTCTGATCGGGATATGCTTGGTCTCATCTCGAATTTCCATCCGGACCAAAAACACTTTACTGTAAGGTGTTCTTATGAGATCTTACATTTTTCAACGAGCGCGGAATGTCCTTTTAAAGGGCTGGAGAAAGATGGAATCGATGAAAGAGCAAAGAGGGTCGCACCGGACGGGGGTCGAACCAGGGATGGTCCGCCCCGCAGTCCGATGCTCTAGCCAGTACACCAGAGAGTCGAGTGGAGAGGGGCGGCGGAGTGCCCCCACATACCCTAGGGCGCATTGCCACCTATACAAAAACTGCCATTAGAAATAAAGCAATTTCATGGTGATAATAGCTAAAAAATGTTGTATAAAACCTTGCTAAATGATAGCAACGTACTTTGCAACTTTTTAGAGCTGTTTTGCTGTCTATGCGCCTCTTTTTCAGCCAAAACAGTGTCCCAAAACCCCGAATCGCCCAGAACTTGACCGCCTTCTATCCAATCCAGCTCAAATTTTTAACATCGATGCGTATCACCAAGTCCTTGGTTTCAGGAAATTTTTAGTTGAAAACATTGCTAAATGAAAAAGTTATAGCCAATAAACTGGTTTCTTCAAACGCGAGAGGGGGGTTTTGGGGGCGCTTACGCGAGGGAAAGCGTCGATGGTAGCACCGCGGCGGTCCGTCACCCCGACGGACGCCGGCCCATCTTTCTCCAGCCCTTTAAGGATATTTTTACGACTTCCATTCGCCTCGCTCTTGATTTGATTGGTTGGTTCGGCCCGATAATAAGTGATTGATATGATGGAATTTATAATGCTTCACACCTATTCAGGAATTTTGCAACTATGTATGATCGTGAAAACCCGTAATCGAAAGTGGACAATTTTCCGATTGACTTCCACGACCCAGAGACAAAACAATTTTGTGAAATTTCCGACAACCAGTAGCCATGAGAAATTCATAGTAACGTGAAAAAATGATTTGCAGACACAACACCCGTCAGTCTCTGAATACCGTTGGTTCAGTTGGCAGCTGGCAAAAACCACATCGCCCGACATACTTATTGATACCTTCAAACATGAAGCTCCTTCTGCTACTTGCTCTGTCAATGGTGGCCACGGACGCAGGGACCTTTTTCCCGCCTAATCGCCGTTAGTTTGATTTCTCTGTTTCGGGTGGCGCGGCTGCCGGCGTAGCTTTCGGCAAGGCTGCCGGCACGCCTTGGACGGCTCCAGGGAGGCCATACGCGGCCCGGTTGCCGGCGCGGTATGCTGTTTTTATATGCCGAAAACTAAGCGTAAGGTGCGCCGGTAGCCGTGCCGCAGCCGTTTTCGGCCCAGCTGCCGGCGCGGCGTGCCGGCAGGCGTGCCACGTCACGGCTGCCGGGCGCGACATTCGGCAGCCGTGCCGAAGGTGTGCTGGCAGCCGCGCCACTCGAAACAGAGTTGCCAGCGGCAACTTATGATTTAGCCGTACCCGAACCGCACGATTGGACCGGTCCCACCTTGCCACCATTACCAGATGTTGTCACTCCGAGCGTTGCAACCACCGAGACGTCTACAGGTGGGATTACCTTGTAAACGACAATCACCAAACATTTTGCAAGCGGCCTACAAAAAACCATAATATCAATCTGATGGGACCAAAAAGTCAGCGTTGTACCCGGGAATAGACCCTGCGAGTCAAAAAGTTACAGGGGTACTCCCTAAGAGTATCATCAAATTAATTTGGTTGCGAAAAAATCGACAACTTTTGGGCGCTAAAGCGCGTGGTTGGTCGCGCGGGTTTGTATGCCTTAATGTCCGGTCAAGCACCCAAATCAGCAAACGGGGATTCTAGGGTCAATTCCGAAAGTTAAAACGGCTAAATAGGGGAATCGCTTGACGATTCCAGAAATCGCATCAGAATTTTCAAATTCAAGCGCTTTCAAGTCGTGACTGGGACAAAAAGGCCCGCGACGCGGTCGCGTTTCGGCCATATCTATATCTTGAAACATGGTTTTCCACATGGCTGGTGGGACGCTAACGAAGAACTTAAACCAGGATAGCTTTAACTTTGCGCTTTCAGCGACCGAGGCCTCGACTACCAGCACCGAGGCTCCGTCACCCTCGTCCCAAATCATCACCCCAATCGACCCGACTCAACAATCCCCAGATGAAGTTGTCGTTGTGGAATATTCTGGGAAAAATGTCTTTCTCATTTTATCGGCCTGGGAAGAAATAAATACAGGCTTACGTAAGCCTTAAACTTTGTGAACCTCGTGTAATTCCATCATTTTCAATTCAATTCGTGATAAAATTTCTAACTTGATTTTTCCGATCATTTTTTCATCAATTTCCATTTCTCAAGACACAACAATCTGTTGCAATCGACCGCAATCAGCAGGCATGAGGCCATCAATTAAAGTGAATTAGAGTTCGAGACATAACAGGCACATATTCTGAAGTTGTCCATTAGCATGATAATCATCAGCTCCTGGCGCAGGCATTTTAACTTCCGTACTACCGCTTAACCGGATCATGAGACTTTTCATGATCAGTTCCGTTTTCTTGGCTATTATACTAGGTGTCAACTCGATCTTTACCTTGAAGCCGGCCCCCATCGGTTTGTCGTCCGTTTTGCTTCATCGTGTCTCTAGTGACCTTCGTGACCTCCGCGCCCCCGAGCCCCATTACCAAGATGGCAAGTGAGCGATTTTTTCAAGTATTAACTAATTGTACTGGGTGTCCGAAAAAACTTCCAGCTCGACGCAGAACTATCGGATCGGAACGGTAGTTACACCATTCGAAAACCCTTCTAATCGCGGGTTTTCAACAATCTTGAAAAACATTTTTATTTAATCGAACCAGTTTAGAACG